TTTAAGACGACCTACGGGTAAGACGAAAAAGCTTGTAGACTTGGCTCAAAAGTGAGATAAATCTAATTATTCAGTAGGGTATCGTCACCTTTCTAGAATAAGTGAACACACTTTAGTAATCTGTTCCTTGCCTACGACGTTATTGTTTAAAGTAAGGCGAAGTTAAAGAAAGTCTGAAGGATTTTCAGTCCGGCTTTTTATCTAATTCTAGAAGCTTTGATGTGTTTCAATCATCACCATGTTGTCCTTAAGCTCTTTTAAAACTATTTTGATTATCCACGATATACCTACTCAGTTTTTTTTAAGGGGGAGAATCTTTGAATGTGTTCTCCCGCCTGGGTGAGGCGGGATGGAGTGTCAGACTCTAAACTGGCTAAAACCACCCCGTTCCTTCTCTTGCACGTCGAGCCGGAGCCCCGGTAACCCGTTAGGTTCTCCGCGACATATACCTACTCGGTACAGCGTCGCTCTGCCTCGGACCAACTTAGCTACTCAAAAGACTTCTCGCTTGCGAACACTGGAGTCTTGATACCGCGTCTTCAATACTATTCGTATTAAATCATTGTGGTTAACATTTCAGAGTTTTGCATATCTGTCTATCGATAGAATTTTTAGCACCATCTCACGTTGCATTGTCGTGGGTTTTCAGTGTGTGATCGATTAGTCTTTTTGTCGAGATAATTTTATTATTTATATCATGCTGCGCTCCAAACAGCGTTTCCGTAGGGGTATAACTAGTACGTACCATATCGGGCTGATGCTGAAAATCAGCGCCGTGGGCTCGAGCCTCTGTGCCCGGTCCACGGTATTAAACTGAGCTCCAGCCTTTTGCGCTGCGACGCACCATGGGCTTTTTTGTGTGTAATTACCTAAATTCTTGTTGTGTGTCAAAATAAATGGTTTTTCTTTCTTTCGAGATCTTAAAGATTCGACCCAACTGATTGGACAGCTTCTACGAACCTATTACTTATCTCGTCCGTGGATTTTTTTATCGTATTCATGTAGTATAGATAGATTTTAAAGTGTTAACGTTTTGCCGTGTATTTACACAGTGCTTACTTGTAAGGGGGCGTCCATAAATTACGTGAGATGTTTAAGGGGGGGAGGGGGAAGATTCAAATCTCATCTTACGTTGGAGAGAGGGGGGTCTCGGCAAATAACACGTATTTTTTTTCTGAATGAAACAAAAAAAGTATACTATTTTAGTTCATTTAATCCAGATGGAACTTACATGCTTAAGATTTAATTGTTGCACTTGGGTTTTTTTCTTTTTACAATAATAATCCAACGCGTTTACGTAAAAAACCCAAATTTTGAATAATCTCACGTGAGTTTGGGGGATGGGGGAGGGTGTTAAATAAAATCTTACCAGGGGGGAGGGGGGGACTGAAAATTTACACACCTCAGGTAATTTATTGGCGCTCCGTAATGTAAAAAACAATAACTAGTGTTAATAAATAACATATTTTTTAGACCTGCCCCACCCTGAGCTAATGACTGTCTACGCCGATGGTGAGTTGTTTATAAACGTTTCACATCGTTCTTTGTCTATTTTTTGAGGGGACAGAATCATCGAATGACTTTTCCCTTGGGTGAGGCGAGAGGGAGTGTCAGACTCTTACTGACTAATGAACTACCCACGTTCCTACCTCTGCTCTTTGAGCCGGAAGCTCGACAACCCGTTAAGTCCTCCGCGGCTCCGTATCGCCATCAGATTTATTAGGCCGCTTCTATTTTTTATGGAATATGAGGCAAACGAGCAGATATATCACTTGATGGCGATCTGGGTGCTTACTCTTGAAACCAATCTCAATGTCAATGCAATTTCAAACCAATAAAATCTCAATAATTATCCAATGTCAAAACTATACGACCCCAATAGTAGCTGTTAAAGTAGCATTTAGAATACGGAATATAAAGCCAAACTCAATACCATTTAGTTCATTAAATATCCACGCAATACGAATGCAATGGGCGCTACTGTTGCAACTCAAGAGTATGAAATTCAAGAGTAAGCCCCCAGGTGGCTTACTCTTGAATCCAATTCCGATCGATCGACATTGGTATTGTGAAATCTCGTACTCTTGAATTACAACACTAGCGCCCATTGCATCCGTATTGCGTGGATATTGAATTAACTAAACGGTATTGAGTTTGTCTTTATATTCCGTACTCTGAATGCTATTGTAACAGCTACGATTGTGGTTGTATAGTTTTGACATTGAATTATTCAATTTTTATTTGATTGAAATTGCATTGATATTGAGATTGGTTTCAAGAGTAAACACCCTGATCATGGACACTCAACAACAGAGGGCGCACAGGAGCATTGTTGAATTTTAAAAAGGTTTACGCTCTTTTCTTGATTATATGAATTAAAAACACGTTTATATGGTTTGTATACTTTATTTAATCATGATAAAAAGATTACACAATCATTACATTCTTATATAGATCGCCTGTACAGTCCACGCTACCGTCAGTAGCCTGGACAATCTCTACAGTACATGAGTCACTGTTTACATGTTACCATTAGCTCATGACGATACCTAAGTACGTATCGCCTGGACAGTCCACGCTACCATCAGTTGACTGGACCATCTCTACACTACATGAGTCACTGTTCACATGTTACCATTAGCTCATGACGATACCTAAGTACCTACGTATCGCCTGGACAGTCCACGCTACCATCAGTTGACTGGACAATCTCTGCACTACACGAGTCACTGTTTACATGTTACCATTAGCTCATAACAATACAAAATTCAAAATTATACATAGCCAAATAATATATTTCTAATACTTTTATGAGAATTAATCCTAAATAGAATTTTAACCGAAAATATTAGACGAAATTGACAAATATCTTGATGAAAGGTAAATCTCAAATAATATCGGATTTATAATAATAAACATTATGCTTAAAACTATTAATAAAATGTCTCAAAATATTAAAAAATGTAAATCAATAATAAGTTACTAGATTTTTTGGGAAATATTCTTAAAAAAATCATCAATAACAATCTATTCTGTATGGAATAGGGGCAAACTATGTAATTTCGTGTGTATATAAAGAAAAGTATGAATTGGGATGATGACAGGGTATAAAAATTAAAAATCTATTAGTCCATAAGTTAGGTAATGAAAAAATATTAGACACGTATTTTTTTATTTTGTCGTGTTATAAAACAATACTTATATAAAACGAATCAAAGGAGTGGGGGCTAAAACGTCATTTCTACGTATAAAATGTACATAGAAGTGACGTCACACGACATTTCAAATCAATATATCGTCGAAAGTATTCGTTTCTGTAAGAAAATAAAAAATACGTGTCTAATGTTTTTAAATAATCTACCAGACGGACATTAAAATAAAAATTCGGCATCTACACTATTACGCTGTCAAAAATATCTATGGGAGGATGACAGGGTATGAAAATTAAAAACCGAATGAGTCCGTCAGTTATGTAATGAATAAATGTTAGACACGTATTTTTTTATTATGTCGAAAACAATGTTCAGATTAAATATAATGACTGCACGATTAGTGCGGTGGCTGGACTGGGCTGCCGCGCGATGTATAGCGAGGTTCGAATCCCACACTACCCAGTCTTTCTGTCCAAAATATACCCCTTTTGAAGGCCAATCATCAAAAAAAGGCCTCAATAGAATAAATGATTTGACTTAAATATATTAGATTATGAAGATTAAATACACTAAATTACTTATTCATTAAAATGGAAATTTTCTAATAACTATCGTGAGACATACTAAATTAAACTGTCAAACACCGCGAGGACACCGGTGATCGCAACCTATTGTTCTTTAATTGTGTCTATAATGACGGTACTCAAAGGGTTAACTAAAAATCGCGGGATACTACAAGTGAAACAAGTGAATTTATTTCTGCAAATAGGCTACAAGCTTTTACACGTCAATTTTTAAAGCGAACGATGAGGTCGACTTGTTTCGAGCCACATAACTCTTCCTAATGACCAGAATGCGCGGTCGCGAACTAACTAGTAGAGCTTTTCTCAATATATTCACGTGAGTAACCCGCGATTTTAGTTAAAATGGAAAATTTATTTCTTATAGTAACCTACAGACATAATATTGGAATATATTTTTGTATTTTTTTATAGCATAAGCCGGTAAACGAGCAGACGGATCACCTGATGGTAAGCAATCGGCGCCGCCCATGGACACTCGAAACACCAAGGCGTTACAAGTGCGTTACCGGCCTTTTAGGGATTTGAGGATTGTGGAGGATTCGGGAATTCGGGGGACGGGGACTAGGGACGGGGACTTGGGTAATTGGGCCTCCGGTAACAAAAACTTCTGTTAACTTTATAATATAACTGCCGTGGGACGTACAAAATTAATTATTATGTTTTTGGCTTACTCACCGTAATACTAAATTGTTATGTTCCCGGCTTACGTAACTGTTTAGTGCTTAACGAAGACCTCGACTAAATTCAGCCAGAGCAGCCAGTAGCAGTGCGACAGTAGCAGGTCGCGGAATGCTGCTCATGAATATGAGCCTCTAGAATGGCTTGAAACTAGTCTAGTTCCTCGTCAAATTAAAACTTGAGTAAGCCAAAAACATAATAATTAATTTGTATTCAGAATAAATCTGTTGTTTAAGATGTAATACAGGGTGGGTCTGAATAAAACCTTGTATAATATAGGGTGTTGTTCAAGTCATAATACAGGGTGTTATTAAACACCTCCAGCCATGCAAACAGGGTGTTTAAACAACATTACATATAGAACACAGGATGTTAAGCTGTTGTACAAGTCATCATACAGGGTGTGTCTAAATATAATCTTATGTAATACAGGGTGTCGTACATGTCATTATATAGGATGTTTCTAAACATAACTTAATGTTACACAGTGCATCGTTCACATCATAATACAGGGTGTTTCAAAATACCTTTAGCCTTATAAACAGGGTGGTTTGACAACATAATCTTATGTAAATGGTGTTACAATTTAATTCATTTGATGTATAGGTGCAGAAGGCGGTGGGAAGCATCGTACATGTTCGACTCCTGCTCTCTCCTCGTCGGCCGCTAGATGGCGCGCTAGTACTCCGAATATTTGGGAGTTCAGCACTTGGAAACGTCGGATGCGGTCGACCATGCGTTTTAGGGGCTGTGGAAATGACATTTATAAATATTATTAAACTAACTTTTACCCGCGGCTTCGCTCGCGTCACAAAAAGATAAAAAGTAGCCTATGTGACATGCCAATACACACAGCGCCATCTATACCAATACTTTTGTTTTCCCTCGGGAATATTAGTATATTTTTCCGGGCTAAAAAGTACCCTATTATTTAATCCGGCCTTCTAACTTTACGTTTGGCAAAAATTCAAAGCAATCGGTTAAGTGATTCTAGCGTGAAAGCGGAACAAACAAACAAACAAACAAACTCACTTTCCGATTTATAATATTAGTAAGGATAGTAAGGATATGTCGTGGTGTGTCGTGGTGGCCCTGAGGTTTAAGACGCCCGCTTCTCATGCATGAGGCCGCGAGTTCGAAACATACCAACGGCAAGTACCAATGTGACTTTTTCCGAGTTATATGTACTTTCTATGATTATTGAGACACCACTGACAAACGATGAAGGAAAACATCGTCATCGCCAAACTATCGTGAGACATACTAAATTAACTAAAAATCGCGGGTTACTCACGTGAATATACTGAGAAAAGCTCTACTAGTTTCGAGCCACAGAGGGGTTCTTCCTCATGAGTAGCGTTCGCGGTCGCGACGCGGGTGAGGTTCGAAACTAGTAGAGCTCTTCTCAGTATATTCACGTGAGTAACCCGCGATTTTTAGTTAATTTAGTTTGTCTCACAATAGTTAACTATAAAAAAATAGTATTTTTTTTAATGGGGGTAAAATCATGGAAATACTTCTCCCGCCTGGGCGAGGCGGGAGGGAGTGTCAGGCTCTTACTGACTAGAAACTACCCCGTTCCTCCTCCTGCACTTCGAGCCGGAGCCCCGGTAACCCGTTAGGTTCTCCGCGGCTCCGTATCGGCATCATCCCTATTGGGCCCCATCTGATGGCTCTTTGTATCGCGGACCGCTCGATACCGTACGCTCGGGCCTGGTTCTAGTCAGTCGGCGAGCTACCCATGCTCGCCGTCCGCAGTTAACTATAAAAACACTCAATAATACTCACAATGCCTTTAACAGACTCATCCTTGCCGTCGACTCGCTGCACTCTTAGGATATGGTAGCAGAAATCCAAGGCTTCAAACCTTCTTTGCTGACCCAGTAACGCTATAATCGTACACCCGGCCCAATGGAGGCCTTCGCCGAATAGTTCCCTGAAAAACATAACATAACATCACGTCTTTTATCCCCGAAGGGGTAGGCAGAGGTGCACATTATGCCACTGTACAATGTAACACCCACTTTTCAGTATTTATGTTATGAGTCCCATGTAATAGGGGGTGAGCCTATTTCCCTGGAAAAAAAAGCTATAAATCACCACCTCATAGAAGACCGACGTGAAGCAACGCTTGCGTTGTGTTTCGTCGTGTGAGTGAGGTTTCCGGAGACCCCCTCCCCTTCCCAGTCTCTCTAATCCCCGAATCTCCCGCAATCCTCAAATTTCCAATCCCAACAGGCCGGTAACGCACTTGTAACGCCTCTGGTGTTCCGTGTGTCCATGGGCGACGCCGATTGCTTACCATCAGGTAATACGTCTGCTAGTTTACCTGCTTATACCATTAAATATTTTTTTTGCGGAGTAGCTTATCATGGTCTTGCATTGAATTATTTTTCTATACGTACGTACGTACGTGTACGTACATGTACGCATGCGTACGTACGTATATACATACGTACATTCATACATTGCAAGTTGGGTACTTGCCTTCATCAAAAATAAATTATTTCGACTGTCGTTCGATATTTTATTGTATTGCAACAAAATATTAAAAAATAATCACACTTTAATTAATTCATTTTATGACCAACTTAATTTTAGTATATATTTCAGCAAATTTTTAAGAAACAAGTACACTGTTTGACGCTAAAAAACCGTGACGTCACGATACACAATCTCGTACAAAATTCATAGAAAACTGTCGTCTTTGACAGTTCGAAAAAAGTATTGAATATGACAAGTTGGCAAGTACACAATTAAATGAAAGTTTGCAAAAAGTATACTTACTCGACGGTGAACTGCGTATCACCAACGGGAATACAATAAAGGAACTGCAGAGCTGACCATAATCTGAAATATTAAAAATATAAAATATAAATAAAGTCATCCCCTATTACATGGGACTCACATAACACATAACTTCAGGCCTTTTATACCCAAAGGGGTAGACAGAGGTGCACATTACGGCACTTAATGCTACTGTACAATGAAGCACTCACTTTTCACTATTTATGCTATGAGTCCCATGTAATAGGGGGTGAGCCTATTACCATATACCGGCCAGAATTGCCAGACTCCGTGCTACTACTGTGGACTCATAACATAAATAGTGAAAAGTGGGTGTTACATTGTACAGTGGCATTAAGTGCCGTGCTTACACCTTCGGGGATAAATAAAGCGTGATTTTATGTTATAAAATATACCTTTATAACAAGAAATCACTGTTTATACTACAACTGTTGTGAGACAAACTAAGTTAATATTTATACTCGCTACTGAACCGCGCTGCTCAGGAATATGAGCCCCTAGAATGGTTGAAGCTAGTCGAGTTCCTCGTCAATCAATTACGAGAGTTAACTGAAAATGTAATAATAGAGCAGCGGATAGGAAGAATAGAAAATATTGTGACAAAAATGATACATTACCCCCCTTTTTGAAGGGGGTAAAGTAATTCAATGATTTCTCCCACCCAGACGAGAGGGAGTGTCAGACTTCTACTGACTAAAACATACCCCGTTCCTACTCCTGCACTTCGAGCCGGAGTCCCGGCAACCCGTTAAGTTCTCCGCGGCTTCTACTGGGTGTAGTACCAGGTATGTAGTATACCCGGGGTGTACGATACATTACCTGTGGAACTCGTTGGTGTCATCTGTGTGGGCGGGCGCGTGGTGGTGCGGGGCGGGCGGCGCGGGCCAGCCCGGACCCGACAGACAGGCCCGTAGACGCCGCAGGACTACGGAGAATAGGGACAGGCCGCAACACAGCCTCTCGCGGGTCAACAGGTCGCCTTCGCGAGACAACTGGCCTTGCTGGGAATGATAAAGTTAAAAATTCATTATTAATCTATTTTGCTTGCCGCTTACTCACGTTTCTTTATATTTGATGGGCCGACGTTTGCCTATCTCGCCTGGTGGTGCACGATGATGCGGTCTACGATGGAGCACGTCGTCCCATAAGCAACCTATTCACTCGGGCCTTGAAGACACCCAGGTTATACCCTTCAGGAAATACAGACTCTGGCAAACAATTCCACTCCTTAGCAGTACGTACAAGGAAGCTTGAAGCGAAGCGCTTCGTGCGTGTGGGTGGGACATCTACCATGAGTCGGTGACGCTTTGCCGATTGTCTTGTGGTACGATGATGGAAAGGACTAGGGGGAATCAAGTTGTGCAATTCCCCCGCCCAAATGTATCCGGTAGAAAACCGAAAGGCTTTTTTTTAATAAATAATAAATTGAATTTCTCCACGGACTCGTGTCCGTGCCCTTGTCATGTTACAAATACATAATTGTCATGTCAAATATTTTTTTTTTATAAATATCTTACATGCTACGCCTACCACTATCACTACACACAATACTTTATGTTGTTACCTAATTATTATAGTCTTATTATCTTAGACTAACCCTACTGAATCAGCCCACCAGCACGATGAACGAGCCGACCTGTTCCAGCAGAAGGCGCCCGTTCACGGGTATGACGTGTAGGCCAGCAATCGGTCCGATCAACCATTTCGTAGGGAACGGAACGACCCAGCCCACAGCGCCACCGACTGTAGAACATTTACGAATGCATGACGTCCCGGGTAGACGACTAATTTTTATTTTAATGTCCGTCTGATAGATTATTTAAAAACATTAGACACGTATTTTTTATTTTCTCACAGAAACGAATAGTTTCGAAGATTTATATTGATTTGAAATGTCGCGTGACGTCACTTCTCAGTACATTTTATACTAAGAAATGACGTTTTAGCCCCCACTCCTAAACTTTGATTCGTTTTATCTAAGTATTGTTTTATTATACGACAAAATAAAAAAATACGTGTCTAATATTTTTTCATTACTTAACTTACGGACTAATTATATTTTTAATTTTCATACCCTGTCATCATCCCCATTGCAGTAGTGCTAGTGGTTTTTTTACAACCGAAAGCCTTGCAACCTTACGCCTGTGTTCGAGGCTTTGAAGCCGAGCCTTCACAAACGAATCATACAACAGTCATATTATGGTTCAAACAGAACTTACCTTGGCGGTGCCATATTTGTCGACATTCTGCACAATTTGCAACGCCGCGTATTTCGCTTCGAGACGTTTCTGTTTCGTTTCGGGCTTTTCACCCTCTGGAAAAATAATATTATTTTCAGTGGCGTGCACACCATACATGCAAATAAGCACTGCATACCCTACAAAATCATGGTAAACCTACATAGTCAAATACATAGTGTCACTTATAAACACGACATGAATATTTACTGACATCATACAGAGATTTCGTAATTTTTTTGATATTACTTTGGAAAACTGGTAACTAACGCCATCTATCGAAAAAATATTGAAGTACTACAACCACTTTCTACTTTCTTCGATATTGGAGCATTGCGCCAGTGGCGCCGCCACCTCGCTATTGTGTGATGGTGGCGGAAGCATGTACTAATGCGTAGCCGGTACATTTTGCTTGTTTTCTCGTGCTGATGTTGGATTTTTTTTTTGTTAGGTTGGTAATTTCTATACAACTGCAAAAGCACTGCTTCTTCGTTATCCGACTAATTTAGGAAGTCAACAAATCGTAGCGTTTGTTGATTGAAAATAGATATATTAATTTTGGTCAACTTATTGTTTACATTTTTTTTGGCCATTTTGTTTTGGTTATGTTTTTATGTGCAAGTGAATAAATTAATGTAATGAATTGTAATTTAAATGAACTGTTAATTTATCAAAAATATGTAAAATTATAGCTGTGAGCTCTGTGCTGGTGATTTGTGTTGTTCAATAAATTCAATATGAGTGCGTTGTCCTTATTGTCGTTCGAAGAAGAAACGAAAATATTTCCAAAGGCGATTTTGCGTGTGTCGTATGTCCGGGCTAGGCGTAACTCAAAAAAGGTAATAATTTTATTATTTCTTTTAATAAACTACGATTTGCGATTATAGGTATAGTTTGTTAGCACTGGTGGTGTACCAATTTCATTATTGTTTTTAATATCCAGTCATCTTGATCTCGCTTTGTACGATTTTTCTATGCATTTAACGGTCAGTTTATACTGGTGTCGTATAGCTTGATGGTCGCGTAACCATTTGTACTTCGCCGCGCCAAAGTAGGTACCTAGTTAATAGATTTATAAAATAGATACCTAGGTTGATCAACTTTATAGACGGATAGTTTGAAAATAATTATGTACCTAATTTGTTTATACAAATTAATAAAATACTTACTAAACCTAATTACCTACTCAAAACTATGATGTTTCGGGAGTTTTATTTTCCGAGATTAATGTAGACCAAATTTTTTTAAATCATGTGATACCTTCTGCCTACCCTACTTCAAATCTCTGTGCACGCCTCTGATTATTTTTATATGCCCCACATTAGTATTATCTCCCGTGTCGTGGGTGCGTTTACAAACATACAAGTTCACATACACATGACACCCAGACCCGAAACAACAATTTGTGGATCACACAAAGTGTTGTTCCGTGCGCGAATCGAACCCGCGACACGTTGCACGGCAGCCGGTTGCCCAGCCACCGCATCAACCGTGCAGTCGATTATAAATTATATAAATAAGTAAGTAATAATATAAATTATATAAATAGTACATTTACATGTCATTGTTAGATAACCATAATTTAATTATACCCGGGTTCATTTCCTGGATCGAACAAAGTGACTTTTTGATAACTAAATCTGCCTCTGACCTCGTTGGTCGCAAGTGCGACTGCCGGGGTCGGGGCCGGGGTCTCGAGTTCGATTTCCGGGTCGGGCAAAGTATTACTGGGTTTTTAAAAAAAAATGTTAATAGTAGCACGGAGTCTGGAATTGTCCCCAGTATATGGCAATAGGCTCACCCCCTATTACATGGGACTCATAACATAAATAGTAAAAAGTGGGTGTTACATTGTACAGTGGCATTAAGTGCCGTAATGTGCACCTCTGCCTACCCCTTCGGGAATAAATCTGGTCTATATTATATCTATATCTTCTATATATATAAAAGCAAGTCGTGTTAGTTACACTATATGCAACTCAAGAACGGCTAAATCTATTTGAATAAAAATTGGTGGGGAGGTAGCTTAGGTCCAAGATTTTCCATCCAATTTAAATTTTTTATGCATTTTTTTTACTTTTCACCGAAAATCACGAACGAGAACGGGAGAAACGGGATTGCGCGTACGAAGTCACGGGCAGGAGCTAGCATTATCATAAAACCCACCTGCAGCGAATGGTCTCGGCAGAATATTCTGGAATGGCGCCGCGTGAAGCAAGTCCGTCACTTCTTCTTGGCTGAGAGCCTGCAGACAAAATTAAATAGAAGAATTAAAAATAGGGGTTGTACGAGTCATGTATCGTACAGCGCACGCACACATTCACATCAGCACTTTTACATCGCTTTACTCAAAAGTCCACTGCCACCGTAAGACTACTATCGGTTATACACACACACACACACGTATATTTGTATCCGTGTGCGTGTGTTTATGCGTACGCGCGCGTGTTTATGCACATTAAGATGAAATTACTTACGCATTACCGTGTGAACATCACTCACGATGGCAGTGGACTTTTGACTGTTTTAAATTAAATTAATGTACACATTAATTTAAAACTTTAGACACGTATTTTTTCTTTCCTCACAAAATTAAATACATTCGACGATATATTAATTTGAAATATCGTGTGACGTCACAGCGTGTCACATTTTGTAGCACGTTATGACGTAACGACCTCCCACTCCTAAACTAAGCGCCATTTTATCTAAGAATTGCAACTTAATACGACAAATAAAAAAAATACGTGTCTAATATTTTTTCATGATCTAACTGACGGACTAATTAGATTTTTAATTTTGATACTGTGGCAACTACCCAGTTATACCAAAGGTAATATTTGCATATTTCTTGTGAATTGGGTACTTCGCTTAATCAAATATAAATTATTTCGACTGTCCAATACAATAAAATATTAAAAAATAAACACACTTTCATTAATTGATTTTATTACCAACTTAATTTTAGTATTTTTCCAGCAAATATGTTATCGCCAACCCGCATTGAGCAAGCGTAGTGATTAATAATCAAGTGTGGGAAAGCCATGCTTCGGCACTGCTGGGCCGGGTCGACCGGAGTGATACCACGATCGAGCAGAAAACCGACGTGAAACCACGCTTGTGTTGTGCTTCGTCGTATGAGTGAGGTTACCGGAGGCCCAATTACTTCAATCCCCAATCTCCCCAATCCCTGAATCCCCAACAATCCTTAAATTTCTAATCCGTCCAACTATATGCTGAGGTGGAGGCCCTTTTGGCATGAGCCCGCGCAAATTAATATTATTATTTTGTTTATTCGATTTTTTTTGTATATTCAAAATTCTGTTATTATAGTATTACTATTTTGTTATACTGTGATGTTTTTTGTTCTGATCTCTATTCTTTTAAGTTTATTATTAGTATTTTGTTTATATATCTTTATTATTATTTTTTATAATCTTTGTTTTGTGTGCTAATTGTCAAATAAATGTTTTTTCTTTTCTTAATCCCCAATAGGCCGGTAACGCATTTATAACACCTCTGGTGTTCCTTGTGTTAATGAACGACGCCGATTGCTTACCATCAGGTGATCCGTCTGCTCTAACGGCTTATTCCATATAAAAAACCTTCTCCGTGTGAGAAGAGGCTTATGGTCAGCAGTAGCCACTTATAGGCTGTTGATATGTATTTTACTTACTTGTTCTATAAGCATACAGAACAGTATGATGTTCCCAAGTTCCCTGAACGCATGGAACAGCTCAGTTCTGGCGTCTGGGTACTGCACGATGTCTGTCAACTGGGCGTGGTAGTAGCCTAGGACACCTGGACAAGGAAATAGGGAAGAAATTATTTAACCGAGTCGAGTAACCGAGAGTGACTAAATATGTGTATCTGGGACAAGAAGTGGTAATGGGAAAGGACAACCAAGCCAACGAAATTGATAGGCGTATAAGATTAGCGTGGGCGGCTTACTCCAAACTTGAGTTCGCCTTCCGTATGAACATTACTGCTAAACAGAAGGCACGCATATATGACCAGTGTATACTACCGGTGCTCACATACGGGGCCGAAACCTGGGTGTTTTTTTTTTTATAATTGATGGGGCGACGTTTGACCACTATCTCACCTGATGGTAAGCGATGATGCGGTCTACGTTGGAGCACGTCGTCCCATAAGCAACCTATTCACTCGGGCCTTGAAGACTCCCAGGTTATACCCTTCAGGAAATACAGACTCTGGCAAAGAATTCCACTCTTTAGCAGTACGCACAAGGAAGCTTGAAGCGAAGCGCTTCGTGCGTGTGGGCGGAACATCTACCATGAATCGGTGACGCTTCGCGGATTGTCTTTACAAAGGACATTCTCCAAAAACTCCAAGTAGCCCAAAGATCAGTAGAAAGGAAGCTGGTACCTAGGCGTTACGCTGAGAGACCGCAAAAAAATCCAGTGGCTAAGACAGAAGAGTAAAGTCAAGGACGTCACACAGCATATCGCGAAACTTAAGTGGGAGTGGGATGGCCACATTGCACGCAAACAGGGTTCGTGGTGCAAAGCCATGATAGAGTGGAGCCCGTGGGGCGAAAATGCCCACAAGGAAGACCCCAGATGCGTTGGTACGATGACATCAAACGAACAGCTGGCACGAAAAAAAAGGCTAAAGAAGAAGAGAACCGAGTTGAACAACGGAGGAGGTTCTGTGTTTTAGAGAGAGACTAGAATGATAAATGTATTATCAAGTAAAAAACATCACTTTTAATCCCCGAAGAGGTAGCCAGAGGTGTACATTACGGCACTTATGTCAGAATATTGAAACGCTACTCAATTTTGAGTCACGCTTAAGTATAGTTCTATCTCTACAAATTGTTTGTAAAATGACAGAGATGGCACGATATTTGAGCACGACTTAAAATTGAGTAACGTTTCAGTATTCCAGCATTAATGCCACTGTACAATGTAACCCCCACTTTTCACTATTTACGTTATGAGTCCCATGTAATAGGGGGTGAGCCTATTGCCGTATACCGGGCACCCGACTCTGTGCTACTACTGATTTTTTTTTTAATCCAGTAATTCTTGGCCCGACTTGGGAAACGCACCCGAGACCACTCGGACAATGAGGCAGTCGAGTGTGGGTCCAGTGGGTTACATTCTAGTGACATTGGGTGCCGTAATGTGCAACTCTGCCTACCCTTTTGGGAATAAAAGGCGTGATGTTATGTTAATGTTACTCCACACTCCACTAGTAAAAGCGTGTTTAAATTGTGACAGGAACTTTTTTTTTTATGGGATAAGCCCGCCACAACCTCCAGGATCTACAATAGATACAACCATGAAAACACCGGAACACTAAAGTCCGGCGCGTCCCAGGGACATGAATAACTGTCTTGGTTCCCGCAACGAAGTGAATCAGAAGATATTATAAGAGGAGAAGAAGAAAAAAACTATGGTTTCCACTTCCCTCGGTGAATTACTGCAGGAGACAGAATGAATTAACGCCGGATGTCCCTTTAAACACTTTATCACCCGGGCGGGAGCAGACATTCGATGATTTCCCTCCCTTAAAAAAAGAATGTCACTGTACAATGTAACACCCACTTTTCACTATTTATGTTATGAGTCCCATATAATAGGGGATGAGTCTATTGCACATATACCGGGCACAGTTCCAGACTCCGTGCTGTGTAGATGGGTATAATACCCTCTGGACATTGTACAGTGGCATTGGGTGCCGTAATGTGCACCTCTGCCTACCCCTTTGGAGATAAAAGGCGTGATGTAATGTTAATGTTACTCCACACTCCACTAGTAAAAGCGTGTTAAAATTGTAATTGCAACTTACCATTGGAGCCGTAATCATACCGGGGCAGTTTGCAATGCCTGGGCATGGCGGCGGCGAGTGCCCGCGTGAACTGGGCGATGGTCCCGTGCAGCAGGCCGCGGGCCACGTCCAGGAGCTCCGACACCACCACCGCCACGCCCTGGTAGCCCAGCAGGCGGACCAGCGCGTGCAGGTGCTGGGCGCCTACGAAGCCTGGGAAGAAGGTGGAGAATTTAAAAATAATTATGACGTCATAATTCGAGATCTCCTACATACATAGACGACAAAAAAAATATTTTTAAAATAACATAGGTACTTCTATCTAAAATCAGGTCCACAAGAAGAAATTCCATTTGGAATATGTGGGGCCTATGTACTCTGTTTTTATATATGTGTAAAGAAATTATATTTTCTTTAATAATTATTGTTCATATGAGATTTAAGTAATTAAACTTTTTTATGTTACCATAGATAACATTTAGAATCTATGGATTGAGAACTGTCAAAACAAGAGACGTGTTAATTGAATATCTTACAGAATGTAATTATAATAGATAAAAGGGAGAATTTGGAATTTAAACTGTCAAATACCAAGCGGTCACCGGTGACCGCAACCTATTGTTCTTTAATTGTGTCTATAAATACGGTACTCGACGAGTTAAATAATAGGCTTAACTCGTCGAGTACCGTATTTATAGACACAATTAAAGAACAATAGGTCGCGGTCACCGGTGACCGCTTGGTGTTTGACAGTTTAATCGTGGTTTGTTATTTCTACTTCAATATCTCCAAATAATCCAATCATTACATATGTATTGTCCTCTGTGTTGAATGTATGTACATAAATAATAAATAAATAAAAAATTGCTACAAAAACTCGAAAATAAATACACCGTCAAAATAATTAACAATAGTGAATCTTTTTTTAGACATTTTATTGTATCATCATAACATAAACTATTCTGACTATTCAAATATTTTATTGTATTGAACAGTCGCCATAATTTAATTTTTGATCGAGGAAACCTATATGTGGAAGGAAATATTGTGTATATTTTCAACATTTTTATTATAATGAAGTGAAATCATAATGACTGCTGCCCCATAAGCCGAAAGATTGCAGGTTCGAATGCCAGGCAAGGAGTCTCGGGTTCGAATCCCGTGTTGGGCAAAGTATATAATATTTTAAAAATTCTCAGTAGTAGAACAGTGTCTGGAATTGTGCCCGGTATATGGCAAGTCAGTCGCACTTGCGACCACTCGGCCAACGAGGCAGTTTCATATACGTACCGACATATTGAGCATACTGCGCGGAATAAGCCAGACTAAGCTGCTTGGATCCCCAGAGTAGAGCATGTCCGTACTGCTGGGGCTTCTCTCGCGTCACTCCCGCGGCGAACTGAATGCCGCGACATTTTACGAAGCTGGGGACAATATATACAAATATCTATTAACATTATCATCGCTAGATGTTAAGTGTGGGAGAGCCATGCTTCGGCACTGCTGGGCCGATACCGCCAACGAGCAGAAAACCAAAGCGAAACAATCACAGCGTTGTGTTTCGTCGTGTGAGTGAGGTTACCAGAGGCCCCATTTACTAATCTCTACCTCCCCAATCCCCGAATCCCCAACAATCCTCAAATTCCTAATCCGCATCCGGTAACGCACTTGTAACGCCTCTGGTGTTCCAGGTGTCCTTGGGCGACGCCGATTGCTTACCATCAGGTGATCCGTCTGCTCGTTTACCGGCTTATACCATAAAAAAGAAGCATGACAGTCCATTGAGGCCAGAGCCGTATTTTCCCTAAGACAAACGGGGTAAGTGCCCAGAGCAGCGGCTGTAGCCAAATACCATTTAGCGCTTGTCTACATGTAGAATAGAAAACCAAATTATATGGAATTGTCGTAAATTTTGACACTTGTCGGTGTCATCCCCATACATTTTGATTTCTACTCTCTCTGTAGACAAGCGCTAAAGTGGCGTTTGGCTAAAGGCCCAGGGTCGTCTTAGACTACGCTGGTGCTCTTAATAATAATAAGCCTTTTATTCGGATAACAAAAACCAAAATACTTTCTTACATTACGTGAACCTAACTAGAACATTTTTATTTAATTAGTAACATTACGTTTAGGTCTTCTGACGATTTTGCAAATAACACAATATCATCGGCAAATCTTAAGTGTAATAATGTGGTTGGTGCTCTTAGGCACGCAGTAATTCGGGACCCTCAGCCAATCCCGAGATAATGTCGTCTCAAACATAAATACAGGTCAGACAGAGAACCTTATTTTTACAAAGTCGATTAAAACAAGGATTAGTGAAACCAGTCTAGCATATTAGGGAATTGCGACATCGCCAAAGTCGCGGAGAGCCAGTGGATGCAGGTGGCGATTTGTCCAACAATGTGGAGGACTAAAGGGGGAAACCTTTGTTGAGCACGTGGACGTTTTTTGAAGTCGGTTAAAAATTAAGTATTGCAACTTCATTTTTCGACTTAGCGGCCTAAAGTTCACAAATATGGGTCCCATTACACCTCGAAACTAATCGAGCATCCTCGAAACTTAGAAATATTTATTTTAAAACATCATTTCTATGTACTTACCGGTCCGTAGCAGCATTGTAACAATAATTCGGGAGGAAATCGAAGTTGAGTTCCCAGAAGACGTGCAACGTGATCCGTCCGTAGGGCGCCAGTACGCCATGGTCACTCTCTCGGAGGATGGCGTCGAAATCGTCCAGGGTTAGGTACCGACTTAGGAGCTTATGGCATAGACGATTCACTGATATGAGGCCTTCTAGCTCCTAAAAATTAATATATTATTTTATACATGATATAGATTTGATAGATATTACTGTCATTAAACTCGGAGAAGAACATAATATAACATCACGCCTTTTATCTCCGAAGGGGTAGACAGAGGTTTAAGTTAGGTAAGGTTAGTATTGTATCAATAAACAGTCATGTAAAGTAGTCGGAAAGTTAGTATTTTAGGCAGTAGATTTAATATTTTCAGTAAGGACAATTCTTCTTTTCTTGTCTGAGCTTTTATTACTACCCATTTTCAATTTTTTAGAGGTATATTAGGGCAATTTTTTTAAGGGGGGAAAATCATCGAATGACTGCTCCCGCCTGGGTGAGGCGGGAGGGAGTGTCAGACTCTTACTGACTAAAAACCACCCCGTTCCTTCTCCTGCACGTCGAGCCGGAGCCCCGGTTACCCGTTAGGTTCTCCGCGACGAGGTATATTAGGGGTACAATGTACCTATTTTAGATAGATTTCAAAAATGCATGTTATCGTTTTTGACATTTCGGTCTATTAGTCAGTTTAACTCACCACTACGCCAGTAATGTCTCCGGCTTCGAACTTGGCTACCGCTGCGTCTAAAGCCCGATGCATATCTGCATTGATGCGCTGAGCCACCTGCGAAAAACCGTTAACATTTAATCACTACATAGTATAAAACAAAGTCGCTATCCTCTGTCTGTCTGTCCCTATGTATGCTTAGATCTTTAAAACTACGCAACGGATTTTGATGCGGTTTTTTATAATAGATAGAGTGATTCTTAAAGAATGTTTACATGTATAATACATGCATAATATAGTAGAGATACACTGATAAATTTAGAAGTTTCTAATTACACCCGTGCGAAGCCGGGGTGGGTCGCTAGTTTCTATATAAAATGACTTTATAATGACTATGCAGTCACAATTTTATGTTAATTTTTTATTTGTCTGTCGAGCCCAGAGATTTAAGACGCCCGCTTCTCATGCATGAGGGTGCGAGTTCGAAACCTACCAACGGCAAGTACCAATGTGACTTTTTCCGAGTTATATGTACTTTCTAAGATTATCTAGACACCACTGACAAACGGTGAAGGAAAACATCGTGAGGAAACCTGGACCTAATTATAAGTATGTAATCACCAACCCGCATTGAGCAAGCGTGGCGGTTAACGCTCAAACCTTCTCCGTGTGAGAAGAGGTTTTAGTCAGCAGTGGGCACTTATAGGCTGTTGATGATAATGTAGATGCAGTACGGTACTCACGAGTGCACAGAGGTCGACGTGCCTGCCCAGCAGCGCGACGTGTCGCTGGCGCAGTAGCGAGGCGTAGCGCCCGGGCGCCGCCCCCGTACTGGCGCCCCGGGCTGCGCATTCTGCTCTATAACGCTTGTCCAGGAGCATGCTACAAAGTCAAAGTCAAAGTATTTATTTCAATTTAACCATAATTTGGTACTTTTGAAACGTCAACAAATCCTTACTAATATTATAAATCGGAAAGTGAGTTTCTTGTTTGTTTGTTCCACTTTCACGCCGTAACTACTAAACCGATTGCATTGAATTTTTGCAGACGTAAAGTTAGAAGTCCGGATTAAATAATAGGGTACTTTTTAACCCGGCAAAAATTAATATTCCCAAGGAAAAACAAAAGTATTGGTATAGATGGCGCTGTATGTATTGGTATATGTCACATAGGCTACTATTTATCCTTTTGTGACGCGAGCAAGGCCGCGGGTAAAAGCTAGTACAAAATAAATAATAGTCTGTCAGTCAGTCCGTCAGTGAAACTAGGTGAAGCTAGGTGCTCATTCCAAAAAGTAGATTCGAATGAAGAAAAAATAATTTTAATTGAAAACTTGTAAAAAAGGTCTGCCGAGGAACCCCTCGAGACCCCTCTCGAGTTCGATTCCCGGGTCGGGCAAAGTATTACTGGGTTTTAAAAAAACTTCTCAGTACAAGCACAGAGTCTAAAATTGTGGTGCATATTATGGCACCCAATGCCATTGTCCAATATAACACCCACCTACTAAGGACGTAGTAGCACAGAGCCTGGAATAGTGTCCGGTATATGGCAATAGGCTCACCCCCTATTACATGGGACTCGTAACTAGGGTTGCCACCCGTACTTTATAATAAAGTATTGTACGTTATTTAAGGTAATTGTACTCTATACTTTATAAGCATAATAAAGTACACGAAAATACTTTATTTTTGCAAACTTCATTTCTATTAAAGTCGTAAGAATTTTTCGGTAAACTTATCGATTAGATGTCGATATTTATCGATTTATGTTGAATCGATAACTCGCCAGCGCCACTTAGACAATTTATAGTAAAGATGCAATTGTTTAGTATTTCAATGCAATTGTTCAGTAAAGATACTAATTTAATACAAACTGCAAAAAGCAATAAAAAATACATTTTTAAATATAATACTAAATAAGAATAAATTGTACTTTATTTTTGTACTGTGTACTTTTTTTTCTTACCTATAATCGTCAATGTACTTTAAATACCAAAGAAAAAGGTGGCAACCCTACTCATAACATAAATAGTGAAAAGTGGGTGTTACATTGTACAGTGGCATTAAGTACCGTAAAGTGCAAGTGCCTACCCGTTCAGGGTTAAAAGGCGTGATGTCTTGATCCTAGAAAAGTAGCCTATGTGACATATACCAATACATACAGCGCCATCTATACCAATACTTTTGTTTTCCCTCGGGAATATAATTTTTTTCCGGGATAAAAAGTACCCTATTATTTAATCCGGACTTCTAACTTTACGTCTGCAAAAATTCAATCGGTTTAGTAGTTACGCCGTGAAAGTGGAACAAACAAACAAACTCACTTTCCGATTTATAATATTAGTAAGGATTATGTTATGTGTGTTCTGCGCAAAAATAAATGGTTTTTCTTTCTTTCTTTCTGGTGTTAATAAAGTAATATTGTACATACCTGCTAGCCAGCTGTTTGTAATGAGCATAGACTTGCTCCGACAGTTTATAGACGAACTGATCGAAGCATAGATTGACTTCCGCTTCGACTTCGTCATAGAGAAACTGTTTCCGGAATACTGTCAGCGCGTATTGAGCTGAGTCGTTGTATAAATCTAGTGGGTAGAGCACGTACCTGGAAATAGAGACTTATGTTAATTGCAATAAGGATTATTTTTGTTTAACTGCACAGTTTACGCAGTGTAAGTATTTAAGTTTTTTTTTAAGGGAGCAGTGTAAGTATTTAAGTTTTTTTTTAAGTTTAAGTGTGCGAGAGCCATGCTTCGGCACTGCTGGGCCGGCTCGACCGGAGTGATACCACGGCTGAGCAGAAAACCGACGTGAAGCAACGCTGTCGGTGTCTAGGTTCATCATCAACAGCCTATAAATGCCCACTGCTGAGCAAAGCCTCTTCTCACACGGGGAAGGTTAGAGCATTAATCACCACGCTGGCTCAATGCGGGTTGGCGATTTCAAACTTATAATTAGAAATTATAAGTCCAGGTTTCCTCACAATTTTTTTCCTTCACCGTTTGTCAGTGGTGTCTAAATAATCTTAGAAAGTACATATACCTCGGAAAAAGTCACATTGGTACTTGCCGATGGTAGGTTTCGAACCCGCGCCCTCATGCATGAGAAGTGGGCGTCTTAAACCTCCGGGCCACCACGACATTAGTGTCTAGGTTATTTATCCTAAACAGCTGAACTAATTAGAATGAATTTTTGTTTATACATTCAAGTGGATATGCAGGACAACGTCTGTTGGGTCCGCTAGTATATTTATAGAAAGACTTACTCCATCATAGCCGGTTCCTTAGTCCTGAGTATATGGTCGGTCAGTATCCAGGGCATCGACATCTCGATAGGGAACTGGATCCGTTTCTCCATCGTGATCAAATCGTTACACTCCTCGTTGTGCTGGTGATGGACTGTGCATTTCTGTAGACAAAAATATATTAAAATTACTATAAGTACCTACTGGCTGTTCATTTTATATTCTATCTAAATCAGACAATGGTAATGGTCAGGTAAAATATCATTTATAACATCACGCCTATTATCCTCGAATGCGTATGCAGAGGTACACATTACGGCACTTAATGCCACTGTACAATGTAACACCCACTTTTCACTATTTATGTTATGAGTCCCATTTAATAGGGGGTGAGCCTATTGCCATATACCTGGGCACAATTCCAGACCCCATGTTACTACTGAGAGTTTTAAAAACTCAAACTCAAAAGCATTTATTTCAATTAAACCATAATTTGGTACTTTTGAAACGTCAACAAATACAAAATAAATAATAGTCTGTCAGTCAGTCCGTCAGTGAAACTAGGTGAAGCTAGGTGCTCATTCCAAAATGTCGATTCGAGTGGAGAAGAACGAGCAAGAAACTCCAAAAAACCAGTAATACTTTGCCTGACCCAGGAATCGAACCCGAGACCCCTTGCCCGGTAGTCGCACTTGCGATCACTCGGCCAACAAGGCAGTCGTAAAAAAAATATTTCATCTAAATACGCACATGAAACACTAGACGTACATTTGTAGGCACTATTCGCATCGCACGTGTCAACCGACGAGAAATACCTCTTCGACAATGACATGGCGTGATGTTTTGATAATGTACTGAGTTCGTATGCGCTTTCGAAGTTTGCTTGCAATGGTTCACCAGTTATTTTTTGTTTTAAACATATTATTTCTTTGTAAAACTATTGATTTACCGAGACAAAACCATCTTTATATACATAATTCTTCTGTGAGTGTGTACGTCACTGAACTTCTCTCAAACGACTGGACCGATTTTGATGAAATTTTGTGTGTGTTCAGGGGGATCTGGGAATGGTTTAGATTCACAAATCAGCCCGGCAGATGGCGCTGCAGTCGATGTTTAGGTTATTTATCCTAAACAGCTGAACTGATTTGAATTAATTTTTGTTTATACATTCAAGTGGATATGCAGGACAACGTCTGTTGGGTCCGCTAGTTTTATATATAACCCTTCGTAGAAAAAACCACAATATTAAATTCTACTTACGTTCACTTTGCGTCCCATTGTCATCTCAAGATAGAACTCTCGGTACCACAGCTGGGAAAGATCGCAACACTTTTGTAGAGAATCTGAAAATAAAATTCAAATTTAAGTGTGTGAGAGCCATGCTTCGGCACTGCTTGGCCGGCTCGACCGGAATGATACCACGGCCTCACTGAAAACCGACTTGAAGCAACGCTTGTTTCGTCGTGTGAGTGAGGTTACCGGAGGCCCAATTACCCTCCCCTTTCCCAATCTCCCCAATCCCTGAATCCCCACTATCCTCAAACTCCTAATCCCCAAAAGGCCGGTAATGCACTTGTAACGCCTCTGGTGTTCCAGGTATCCACGGGCGACGCCGATTGCTTACCATCAGGTGATCCGTCTGCTCGATTACCGGCTTAAACCATAAAAAAAGAAAAGAAAAGCGAGCATGGGTGGCTCGCCGCCCGACCAGAAACAGACCCGAGCGTACGGCACCGAACGTTCCGCGCGAGCCACAAAGAGCCATCAGACCACCACGGATGGGGACCAATAGGGCTGATGCCGATACGGAGCCGCGGAAGGCCTAGAGCCGAAGCTCGAAGGCCAGGAGTAGGAACGGGGTGGTTTTTAGTCAGTAAGATTCTGACACTCCCCTCTCGCCTAACCCGAGATAGGAGACGTCATTGAACGATTATCCCCGTATAAAAACGAAACCAAATCTCTTTACCATAATCCCCAAATCTGGCTAACAGCACGGTGATTAAAATTTCTACTCACCAGATAAATTCAGCAGATATCCCCAATAGAAACTAAGTCGATGGAAGGTTTCGATCTGCGTCAGGGTTCCAGCATCCAGGTCTTTGCGCAAAGTACGTCTTCCGCCAGACTTGTCAGAAATTAGGGCTTCCAGTTGGGTGCGCACCATGTATAGTTGGGTAGACGAGGGACCTATAGACAAATAGGTAATGAAAAAATATTAGACACGCATTTTTTTATACTATCAAATAATTAGATAAAACAAATCAAAGTTTAGGAGGGGGGCTAAAACGTCATTTGTAGAAATACGTAGGTATTAAATGTACATAGAAGTGACGTCACGCGACATTTCATATTAATATATCTTCGAAAGTATTCGTTTCTGTAAGAAAATAAAATATACGTGTGTAATGATTTAAAGTAATCTACCAGACGGATATTAAAATAAAATTTAGGCATCTACCCTATTATGTAGATCATAATTAAGTGGAGAAGTACTGACCAACATTCCGGCGCGGCACTTTGATGGTGAAGCTAGCCTCTGCGTCCTTCTTCCCTCGCAGCGCGGGGTCCTGCTGGGGCTCGCAGCCGCGCGCCCAGTCGCCGCACGTCTCGCGCACTGACACTATTATACTGGAATGGAGATATATCAAGATATATTTTCATACCCCGTCATCATCCTAATAGGGTAGACGACTAATTTTTATTTTAATGTCCGTCTGATAGATTATTTAAAAACATTAGACACGTATTTTTTATTTTCTCACAGAAACGAATAGTTTCGAAGATATATTGATTTGAAATGTCGCGTGACGTCACTTCTCAGTACATTTTATACTAAGAAATTACGTTTTAGCCCCCACTCCTAAACTTTGATTCGTTTTATCTAAGTATTGTTTTATTATACGACAAAATAAAAAAATACGTGTCTAATATTTTTTCATTACCTAACTTACGGACTAATTATATTTTTAATTTTCATACCCTGTCATCATCCCCATTATTATTATGTATGTCTTTACCATTGACGGGACCACAGGGTCCCGGTCATTTGGGAGGCGTACGAGGGGCCGAAGCCAACTGCGCAGAGGCCCTTTAGACAACTATAATCTAAATTATTATAATTACGACTGCCTCGTTGGCCGAGTGGTCGCAAGTACGATTGCTGGGCATGAGGTCTCGGGTTCGATTTCCGGGTTGCGTCATTGGCCGAGTGGTCGCAAGTGCGACTCTCGGGCAAGGGGTCTCGGGTTCGATTCCCGGGTCGGGCAAAGTATTACTGGGTTCTTCTCAGTGGTAGCACGGAGTCTGGAACTGTGCCCGGTATATGGCAATAGGCTCACCCCCTATTACATGGGACTCATAACATAAATAGTGAAAAGTGGATGTTACATTACAGTGGCATTCAATGCCGTAATGTGCACCTCTGCCTACCCTTTCGGGGATAAAAGGCGTGATGTTATGTTACATGTTATGTTATGGAGATATATCACTACATAGTATAAAACAGTCGCTATCCGCCGTCTGTCTGTCCCTATGTATGCTTAGATCTTTGAAACTACGCAACGGATTTTGATGCGGTTTTTTTATATAGATAGAGTGATTCTTAAGAAAGGTTTATATGTATAATACATGCATAATATATTAGAGAAACACTGATATATTTAGAGTTTTCTAATGTGATGTCGTAAATACCTAAGCGCGTTTTTTTGTGCTTACATTGCAAACGCTGGCTGAACCCTACGCGATAGACCAAAATAATGTACTACAGTATTGTCCATATTAATTGTCTAATGATAAAAGAGCTGTAGACTTCGCGTATAAGGACATTAGGTAAATTTACACAAGCATTGTACCCGTGCGAAGCCGGGGCGGGTCGCTAGTTACTTATAATTCATGTTACATACAAGTACGCCTAGCTTCACTCACAGACAGACGTACGGACAATACAATTTTTGTCGTTTCGGAAATGCCTAAGGATTAATTGCAATAAATGCTTTGACTTTGATTTTGAAGTATGGGCTGGCCATGCTTTGCACTGCTGTCGTCTCGTCCGCAGTGCTACCAACGAGCTGTACTCCGTGCGCACAGCCTGGGTACAGGCGGGGGAGGGAGGGCAGTTGAAGCACTATTAACCCCCTCCCCCATCCCCCAATCTCCCAAATCCCAGAATGATTTTCTGCTCGTTGGTGATATTCCACTCGTGGACCCATTCGTGCCGATGCATGGCTCTCCCACACTTATAAATAAATAAGTGCATTACCGGCCTTTTGGGAATTTCATTGTTGGGGATTCAGGGATTGGGGAGATTGGGGGGGGGGGGTAATTGTGCCTCCGGTAATCACGTCGGTTTTCTGTGAAGCTGTGGCATCACTCCGGTCGAGCCAGCTCAGCAACACCGAAACATGGCTCTCCCCCATATAAATATGTAGATAATAAATAATAATATCGTCAGATCATGTCATTTTAGACTATAAATGTCTATGTAACATCATGTCAATGTCATAAATTGCGACGTTACATCATAAAAACCTGCGTAAAACTTGACGTAGGGTCATAATTACCTGTCGCGGAGAACCTAACGGGTAACCGGGGCTCCGGTTCGACGTGCAGGAGAAGGAACGGGGTGGTTTTTAGTCAGTAAGAGTCTAACACTCCCTTCCGCCTCACCCAGGCGGGAGAAGCCATTCGATGATTTTCCCCCCTTAAAAAAAATGGGTCATAATTACCTGCGAATCAAGTCCTTCTTGTTCTTGATAGCCTTTCGTAGTGGCTCGCGTAGTTTGAGCTGAACGAAGTCCTGCAACTCGGCGTATATGGAGCGTCGCGCCGCGTCCGCGAAGACTGTCTCCATGCGCGCCATCAGTACTTGTAGACCTTTGATCATAGCTATCACCTCTATCATTGCGAATTTTTCTTCTGACGTGTAATTGTAGCGGGTTGCCTGGGTAAAAAATAATTTAATATTAAAATATTACATTTTGTTCGATTCCCGGGTCGGGCGAAGTAATAAATAAATAATAAAATGTATTTTCAAACATATATAATACACTGGCTTTTACCCGCGACTTCGCTCGCGTCACAAAAGGATAAAAAATAGCCTATGTGACTTATACCAATACATACAGCGCCATCTATACCAATACTTTTGTTTTGCCTCGGGAATATCAAATTTTTTCGGAATAAAAAGTACCCTATTATTTATTCCAGAATACTAACTTTACGTCTGCAAAAATTCAATGCAATCGGTTTAGTAGTTACGGCGTGAAATCGGAACAAACAAACAAACTCACTTTCCTATTTATAATATTAGTAAGGATAGTCTATAAATATAAAGTTTTGCTTAAAGCTATATTAAAGTTCAAAGTATTACTGGGTTTTAAAAGCGTCTCAGTAGTAGCACGGAGTATGGAATTGTGCCCGGTATATGGCAATAGGCTCACCCCCTATTACATGGGACTCATAACATAAATAGTGAAAAGTGGGTGTTACATTGTACAGTGGCATTAAGTGCCGTAATGTGTACCTCTGCCTACTAAATAAAAGGTGTTACGTTATTACTTATGTACACACATACAACATAAAGGACAACATATATATAAAAATAAAGTACAAAGGTACCATCTTGTCCTATTGTAATTTCTACCTGTGGTTCTGCTTATTCTAAAAATCTTTATATATATAATTCTTCTGTGAGTGTGTATGTCACTGAACTTCTCTCAAACGACTGGACCGATTTTGATAAAATTTTTTGTGTGTGTTCAAGGGGATCTGGGAATGGTTTAGATTCACAAATCAGCCCGCAGATGGCGCTGCAGTCGCTATTTAGGTTATTTATCCTAAACAGCTGAAGTAATTAGAATGAATTTTTGTTTATACATTCAAGTGGATATGCAGGACAACGTCTGTCGGGTCCGCTAGTAATAGTATAAGATTAAAGTACAAAGGTACCATCTTGTCCTATAGGAATTTCTACCTGTGGTTCTGCTTATTCTAGAAATAATCTATACTAGCTTTTACCCGCGGCTTCGCTCGCGTCACAAAAGGATAAAAGTAGCCTATGTGACATATACCAATACACACAGCGCCATCTATACCAATAATTTCGTTTTCCCTTTAGAATATCAAAATTTTCCGGGATAATAAGTACCCTATTATTTAATCCAGACTTCTAACTTAACGTCTGCAAAAATTCAAAGCAATCGGTTTAGTAGTTACGGCGTGATAGTGGAACAAACAAACAAACAAACTCACTTTCCGATTTATAATATAAGTAAGGATTTTTATAATAACTATCGTAAGACATACTACATTAACTATAAATCGCGGGTTACTCACGTGAATATACTGAGAAAAGCTCTACTAGTTTTCGCCCTACTAGTTCACTAATTGTTGCTTCGGGTCTGGGTCTAATCTGGGTCTGGGATAACGACACTTTCATCACACAAATTAGGGGTCACTTTATCTCTTCTGAGAAATAAATATCCAGATTTAAGTAAAAGTATAACTTTCTCGACAAGCCTAAAGAATACGCTGTCATAATCGATATTTAAAAAAAGAATTCAACTTCTTATAAACGTAAACAACCTCATTGCAAATCCGAATTCTCTACTAGTCAAAGTCAAAGTCAAAGTCAAAATCATTCATTTCAAAGTCAATATCACTTTTGAACGTCAACAATAAACAGTTTAAACACAGACCCGAAACAACAATTTGTGGATCGCACAAAGTGTTGTTCCGTGCGGGAATCGAACCCACGACACGTTGCACGGTAGCCGGTTGCCCAGCCACCGCACCATTCCTTGCAATGATGACTTTGCGTCAGCTGGCCGAGGATGAAAGGAAATCGTTTCCTGAAGCTGCAGCAGTCGCAACGACTCACCCTCTCATATTCCTCTGCATCGGGCGGACAGCGCGGGTTGCTGGCGTGGTCGGTGGGGTGCAGGAGCTTCCAGGAGCACAGCTCCGTCAGCACGGAGCACCACGACGACAGCAGCTGCAGCCCGCGCAGGCACAGCTCCGTCACCGCCTTGTTCTCCGCGTCTGACCCCGCCTCCTTGAACGTCGTCGTCACCTGGGGGACGGGGGACGGGGGACGGTTTAGTACTTAGGGGGAAAGGGGAACTCATCGAAAATGTCATCAAGCCTTTGACTGCCAATAAAAAAGTGTTGGGGGTATAATCCTCCGCTAACGTCAGTAGTAACACGGAGTCTGGAATTGTGCCTGGTATATGGCAATATGCTCACCCCCTATTACATGGGACTTATAACATAAATAGTGAAAAGTGGGTGTTACATTGTACAGTGGCAATATGCACCTCTGCCTACCCCTTCCAGGATATCTGAAAATAGTACCTGCTCCATTTTTTGAAGTCTATAAAAATAGACTCAGTGACATCACTTCGGTCAAGCCGAGAATCTCCAATGGAAAAAAACATGGTTAGAGGTATCGGAAATTAGATCCAAAATATAGATAACTTACCTCGTTGCTATATCGGGCTAGTTCGGAGATGTAGTTCTGATGTTCCTCTCGGATCTGGGGCAGGTGGACCATCAGATCCGCTTGTGGAGACGGAGGGTTGGGGCTCGATGATAGGGGCCATCTAGAGAGGTAGATATATATTGTAAATTGAGACAGATAGACAGAAATATCACATCTTAATCTTAACTATATTAGTTAAGATTTTACAAAGGAGTTACAAATAAATTAATGTTCTGAATATTCTGCTGTTTTTAGCGAACAAATATTAAAAGTTAAAATTAAAACAAGACAGGTGAAAACATACAATCAAAAATAAAAAATTGGATAATATGGACGATTAATTATCACAATGTAGTAAAATTATTTTCGGTACAAAATTAAGATTATTCTTACAATTTACTTAAAGGATAATAAAAAAAAAGTCGCTATCCGCCGCCTGTCTGTCCCTATGTACGCTTACATCTTTAAAACTACGCAACGGATTTTGAAGCCGTTTTTTTAAATAGATAAGAGTGATTCTTAAGGAAGATTTATATGCATGCTTTAAAACAAGCCTGGGACATTTTTCCTCAATTAATAGAATGCAAGCACAATTTAGTCGCCTGTCATGCTCACTTAGTGTGGATATTGACATGTCCTATTCTCTTTCTAAAGTGAAAACTATCCTGCGTAGGACATTCTCACAGAGTTAAACTGCACTATATGCACTACATGTTCAGATCAAAATCAAAATTGTACAGTTTAAAAATTAAAAAGAAGTAAAAACTTAAATTTAACAATTGTGATTGAAATTGATGTCTTTTTTTTTGATAAGCGAACTTTTTGTTTCTTTGTTGTTGTAATATCCTGTTCTTTTATAATGCATGTCGTGGCAGCCTGTAATTAAGGTTACACTATAGAGTGTTAAAATATTATGTAAAAAAAACCTATCATGTATTTTGGTGTATGCTTTGTTGGTTGTCCTTAAATAAACAAATAAATAATACATGCATATTGCACCCGTGCGAAGCCGGGCCGGATCGCTTGTATTAGTATAATATTATAAATGTGAAGTTTAGTCTGTATGTTTGTTACATAATCACGTCAATACGGCTGCAGGGATCGTGATGATATTTAAAACAACGGTAGATAACGAACTAGAATTGGTATTCTACTACGGTAACGCGGGCGAAGTCGTAGCAGATGCTAGTTATTTCCAGTTTTCGTCATGAGGTTTGCCTTCGCCATATGTCTTATGATTGTCAAGTCCTGAGGTCTTAGTACGAGTTTATTTTACGTTTTTAAACGTATCGAGTACGCGTTTGGCGCTCTGATTGGTTGCTTCATTGGCGCCGGCCAATCACAGCGCCGAACGCGTACTCGTTTCAAATACTTTAAACGTAAATCAAACTTTAAGTGTTGGAGAGCCATGCTTCGGCACGAATGGGCCGGCTCGACCGGAGTGATACCACGGCCTCACAGAAAACCGACGTGAAGCAACGCTTGCGTTGTGTTTCGTCGTGTGAGTGAGGTTAGCGGAGGCCCAATTACCCTCCCCTTCCCCAATCTCCCCAATTCCTGAATACCCAACGATCCTCAAACTCCTAATTCCCAAAAGGCCGGTAACGCACCTGTAACGCCTCTGGTGTTCCAGGTGTCCATGGGCGACGCCGATTGCTTACCATCAGGTGATCCGTCTGCTCGTTTACCGGCTAATGCAATTAAAAAAAACTTATACTAAGGTTACTTCAGTGTTCCGATGTTTTCATGGTTGTATCTACTGTAGATCCTGGCTTACAGGAGTTGCAGCGGTTTTGGGAGGTTGTGGCGGGCTTGTCCCATTAAAAAAGGGTGAAATAACTTACTTGCTACTATCGTAGTGTTTAGACCGCTTGATGTAGTTGAACGGGGCGATCTGCATGTCACCGAATAGAGGCACCACTTCTAAGTTCTGTAAAAAAACAATGTAGAATATATGTAAATAGTTTGAATTAAAATAGAAGTGCGTACAGTATTGAAATATGTATCAGAGACATTGTAGAACATACTTTTTTAAAAAGAGTAACGAATGGAGTTTCTTGCTCGTTCTTCTCCATTCGAATCTACATTTTGGAATGAGCGCCTAGCTTCACCTAGTTTCACTGACGGACTGACTGACAGACTATTATTTATTTTGTATTTGTTGACGTTTCCAAAGTACCAAACTATGGTTTAATTGAAATAAATGCTTTGACTTTGACATCGGCCCTATTGGGCCCCATCCGTGGTGGTCTGATGTCTCCTTGTGTCACGGACCGCTCGGCGCCGTACGCTCGGGTCTGGTTCTGGTCGGACAGCGAGCTACGTCCGTACCGGAGATCGTCCCGCGATCCCCGACGTCCGGAATGTCCTTTTCGACGGCTGGGGCGTCAGGACATTTATATATAGAAATATACTTAATTTTATTTATTTACCTTAAAGATCCTATCGATGCGGTCGAGACGAATCTTCTTTTTCTGATCCAAGCGGTTGATGTTGCAGACCTCGGAGTCCATCAGGAAGAGACCAAAACCCATTACCTGAAGAAACGGGAAAACATACAAAAATAATTTTAAGACTTTGAATGCCAATAAAAAACTGTTGAAGGTAAATCCTCCGCTAACGCCTGTCACCGGTGACCCCCATGGCGTTTAACGTGTTAATTGGTCAAGAGAAGACATTGTGAGGAAACATACTACATAACACCACGCCTTATATCCCCGAAGGCGTGCGCAGAGGTGCACTTGACGGCACTTAATGCCACTGTACAATGTAACACCCACTTTCACTATTTATGTCATGAGGCCCATGTAATAGGGGGTGAGCCTATTGCCATATACCGGACACAATTCCAGACTCCGTGCTACTACTGAGATTTTTTAAAAACTCTAGTAATACTTTGCCCGACTCGGGAATCGAACCCAAGACCCCTTGCCCAGCAGTCGCACTTGCAACCACTCGGCCAACGAGGCAGTCATGATGGATGTTTTATTATTATGTTTTCGGCTTACTCATGTAACTAACGAGGAATTAAGCTAACCGCTTTTTAATTTTAATACTTAATACGATACACATACCAAAATATCATTTTTTACAATTTTAGTCTGTCTGTCTGTTTGTACTGGCTAATCTCTGGAACGGCTGGACCGATTTTGACTGGACTTTTATTGGCAGTTATCTGATGTACTAAGGAGTAACATACTAATTTTAATTTTGAAAAATTGAAACTAAAAAAGTTATATTTTTATAATAACTATCGTAAGACATAATAAATTAACTAAAACTCGCGGTTTACTTACGTTACTCACTCAGTAGACTGCGCGACATCACCGCGACCACACACGCTGCTCATGAGGAAGAACCCCTCTGTGGTTCGAAACTAATAGAGCTTTTCTCAGTATATTCACGTGAGTAACCCGGGATTTTTAGTTAACAAAAGTTACATCCTAAAATTCTTATTGTACGTGGACGTTTTGGCGGCCCAATTACCCCACCCCGCCTTTCCCCAATCCCTGAATCCCCAACAATCCTCAAATTCTTAATCCAGAAGGCCGGTAACGCACTTGTGTTCCAGGTGTCCATGGGCGACGCCGAAATCATCGAATGACTGCTCCCGCCTGGGTGAGGCGGGAGGGAGTGTCAGCCTCTTACTGACTAAAAACCACCCCGTTCCTTCTCCTGCACGTCGAGCCGGAGCCCCGGTTACCCGTTAGGTTCTCCGCGACACGCCAATTGCTTACCATCAGGTGATCCGTCTGCTCGTTTAACGGCTTAAACCATTAAAAAAAAAGGACGAAATTGCGGGCAACAAATGATGATCTTACCTTGACAAGCATATGTTTTTCAGACGGCGTCAGGTACATTTTTGTCTCGAACATATGAACGCAGATGTTCACTACATCTGCTAGTAGCTCTTCATACCCTGGAACATTAAACATAAAGAATTATATTTTATATTTTTTTAAATTATATTTTATATTATATTTTTCTTGACTGCCTCATTGGCTGAGTGGTTGCAAGTGCGACTGCCATTCTAGGATTCTATCCTCGAGGGCAAAGCATATAAAAAAATCTCAGTAGTAGCACGGAGTCTGGAATTGTGCCCGGTATATGGCAATAGGCTCACCCCCTATTACATGGGACTCATAACATAAATAGTGACAAGTTGGTGTTACATTGTACAGTGGTATAATGTGCACCTCTGCCTACCCCTTTGGGGATAAAAGGCGTGATGTTATATGTTATGTACATAATTTATTTTTCGACTAATTTCGACTCGAAGCTCGAACAGATTCGGATGACTTTGAAAACTTTCGGACGAGCTCGAACAATTTTGAAGGAGCTCGAAATTTATAAATAGGTGAAATAACTCAAATAATTATTGGTTGGTTACTGTTTCACGAAGAAACTACTGGATTGATCTGAATGAAATTTAGTACACAGATAGATTATAGTCTTAGACACTCAGTCCCGCGCCTCAAAGAGCTATTAGACCTAATAAGACCGATACGGAGCCGCGGAGGACTTAACGGGTAACCGGGGCACCGGCTCAATGTGCAGGAGAAGGAACGGGGTGGTTTTTAGTCAGTAAGAGTCTGACACTCCCTCCCGCCTCACCCGGGCGGGAGAAGTCATTCGATGGCTTTCACCCCTTAAAAAAAACACACTACAGTACGCGGACGAAGCCGGGCCCAGAAGATAGATTATAGTATAGAAGAAATATTTATTTTATTCATTGGTATTGTATTGATTTGTTTTATTTATCAATATTTTTACTTCTTTTAATTTGTTTTATTCCATTTGTGTAACATGCTGTGTCTCGACGTCTTTATATCTTTTCCTGCCACAGGCCCACAGGAAGAAATTCCAGTTGGAATATGTGGGGCCTATGTACTCTGTTTTTATACAAGGTGTAGTTTTGAAGCCGTGTCATTTCTCGGGGGCATGTCACAGAAGTCATAAAGGTTCAATGCAAGAGAAGGTTTCGGGCCAATAGTTAAAAATACGGCTATAATAAATCGTTTAAGTTCGACAGTAATTCAGAATAAGCGACAGCAATGTTTTATGGAATTAGGAATAATAACAATTACGTGTTTAAGTTTGTGTGTGTTAAGCCGCGTTATAAAGCTAGTTACAAGATGGCGGCGTGTAGTTCGCACTTACGGATTACCGTAATTTACAGAAAAATAAAAAATATATACCTACATTTTTTTATTGATACGGACTCAGAATCGATAGCCGAGTTACCTCCTAGAAAATGACGCGGCTTTAAAATAACACCTTGTATATGTATTGTCCTTTGTGTTGTATGTGTATACATAAATGATAAATAAATAGATAGAATCACATAAAATAAACACACCGTTAATCTTCTCCAAGGCATCTTTAACAGTGTCCCTGATTTTGTTCTGGGTGGCGAGGAACATGGAAAGGTTCTGCGACTCCTGCAGGCTCTGACTGTCTGACATCACCTTCAGGAACTGTGCAGCTCTGAAAGCACATGAAATTTAAGTTAATGTACGAATCATCATCATCATCATCATCAGCCTGTATTCGTCCACTGCTGGACATAGGCCACTCCTATGGCACGCCACTGAGCTCGGTCCTCAGCTCTTCTCATCCAACCACTGCCAGCCACCTTGCAGATGTCGTCCCTCGTAGTTACGGCGTGAAAGCGGAACAAACAAACAAACTTACTTTCCGATTTATAATATTAGTAAGGATTAGATCATTAGACTACAAACCTTCTATAAGTTGAATAATCGTTCTTGACGGAGCTCTTCATGTTCTTCAGCTCGTCCAATACAGCGAACATGTTGACAAACTTCCCCAGTGTGAGTAGATATGCTTCTGACACGAAATCCCTTCGCTTCTCCGCGTGACATAGTCTTCTGACCTCGCCACAGAAGCGCTCTATTGCTTTGCGCTGTAAAAATAAACTTATATATGTATTCTTTGAAATATTTATAACTTTTGAAATATAACAAGAAATTTGAAAATCGGTTCTAAAATGGCGGAGTAATCGATGTACAAAAAAGAACCAATTAATTAATACGTTTACTAACAGTTACGTGAGTAAGTCAAAAACATAATAATAAAACAGAACCATCATGACTGCCTTGTTGGCTGAGTGGTCGCAAGTGCGACTGCCGAGCAAGGGGTATCGGGTACGATTCCCGGGTCGGGTAAAGTATTACTGGGTTATAAAAAACTCTCAGTAGTAGCACGGAGTCTGGAATTGTGTCCGGTATATGGCAATAGGCTCACCCCCTATTACATGGGACTCATATAACATAAATAGTGACAAGTGGGTGTTACATTGTACAGTGGCAAACCAGTTGAAATTCATCCCCAAAATTTGTCCATACAAAAGTAGTCTCTAAACATTGGAAATAAGGTCTATAATGTAGTTAGTGGAGAGCGGTCACCGGTGACCGCTTGGGGGTATATGGGTTAAGTGCCGTAATCTGCACCTCTGCCTACCCCTTCGGGGATTAAAAGGCGTGATGGTATGTTATGTATTTTTTATTTTATATGATGCCCACGGCCACTTTTTATCATCGCACCGCTCGCCATCGACAGGGGTTCACGCTCACTCATTGGAGCCAAAATGGTCCCGTACAGTTCGGTTTCAGAGGAATTTTCTCCCACGGACCCTTCGACCCTCCGATTGTGGAATGAACTCCCTGCCGTGGTTTTCCCAGTGGGCTACAACATGAGGTTCTTCAAGAGGGCAGTGAATAGGTTGGTCAGTGAAAGGGTCGGCAAGACAAGCAAGGCGTACATAGGCCACGGTAACCGCTTACCACCAGGTGGGCCGTGTGCTTTTTTGCTACCGTCGTGGTATAAATAAAAAAAATGTATGATTTCTTTACCAAATTAACGAACGAAAACTGAAAGGCTAATCAATTTAAAATTGTAATCAAATATCGTGCCATCTCTTTCAGTACCTACACGAAGAATTTGTAGCGGCAGAACTATTGGTGAGAGCGTCTTAAACTTGAATGACGTTTGAGTATTTGAACATTCGATACATATGATAAAACAGTAAATAAATCGCGTTTATACAAGTAATATTTTTGAAAATATTCAAAAACAATATAACAGAGCTTGCAGCGCAAGTAGCAACACCGAAGCGAGCGCCAACGCCAGCCAGTGAGCTGCGCGATATCGCCGCGACAACGCACGCTGCTTTTTTTTTAATGGGACAAGCCCGCCACAACCTCTCAAAACCGCTAAAACTCCTGTGCACCAAGATCTACAGTAGATACAACCATGAAAACACCGGAACACTGAAGTCCGGCGCACGCTGCTCATAGGGAAGAACCCCTCTGTGGTTCGAAACTAGTAGAGCTTTCCTCAGTGAGTAACCCGCGATTTTAGTTAATTTAGTATGTCTCACGATAGTTATTATAAAAACATATCAGAGATCATTTTTTTGAAATAAAAATAAATTTCGGTTCGTTAGTCTCGCTAAAACTCGAGAACAGCTGAACCGATTTGGAAAATTTTGATGAAATTTTTTGTGTGTGTTCAAGGGGATCTGGGAATGGTTTAGATTCATAAATCAGCCCGGCAGATGGCGCTGTAGTGGGTGTGTCGGATATTTATCCTAAACAGCTGAACTAATTTGAATGAATTTTAGTTTATACATTCAAGTGGATATGCAGGACAACGTCTGTTGGGTCCGCTATAAAAATGAAACCAGTTTCCCGTTGTCACGCCATAACTTGAGAACGGCTAGACCGATTTGGCTGATTTTTTTTTTGTTGTGTTTGTTATTGTCGAAAGAAGGTTCTTATGACAGAGAAAAAAATCCCGATAATCCTACGGGAACGGGAGAAAACGGGATTGCGCGTACGAAGACATTGTAGAACATACTTTTTTTAAAAAGAGTAACGAATGTAGTTCTTCTCCATTCGAATCTACTTTTTGGAATGAGCACCTAGCTTCACCTAGTTTCACTGACGGACTGACTGACAGACTATTATTTATTTTGTATTTGTTGACGTTTCAAAAGTACCAAACTATGGTTTAATTGAAATAAATACTTTGACTTTGACTTTGAAGTCGCGGGCGGAAGCTAGTAAATAATATTTTTTCTTTTTATCTATCTTACCTGAAAATACATGAACTGCAGTAGCTTATCAACTTCCGGCGCCAGTACTTGCACGGTCCTCTCATATATATGTACTCTGTCCGGCTGTTCGTTGGAGCGCGGCTGAGGGATGGCACGGCTGCAGCAACGCCACGTGTACAGCATCACTGCGTGGTCGTTGCCTTCTTCTAGGAGCTCGTTCTAAGTACAAGAATGGAGTTATCATGTTTTCGGCTTACTGCTACAGTCGCCGCATCGCGAGTCGCGAAATGCTGCTCATGAATATAACCCTCTAGCATGGCTTGAAACCAGTCGAGTTCCTCGTCAAATTATTACGTGAGTAATGCCGGAATACTGAAACGTTACTCAATTTTAAGTCGTGCTCAAATATCGTGCCCTCTCTGTCATTTTACAAAGAATTTGTAGAGACAGAACTATACTTAAGCACGACTTAAAATTGAGTAGTGTTTCAGTATTCCGACATAAGTCGAAAACATAATAATTTATTTAGTATGTCTCACGAAAGTTACAATACAAGAATGGAGTATTAGACAGGTCTTTGGTAAATAATATCTATGTGCAATGTTGTTAAATTTAACGTTGGTAACATTCTTTTAGGTTGGCAACTTTTATTTGTATTGTGTGTGAATTTTTGACGTGACAACGTCTTATAAATTGGTTTGCCGGGTGACACTTCAAGAAACTGCGTTACGCTCCGCTCACGTTATGCGCTCACAATGAGAGCGAGTGAGAGGCACGCGTCCCTTCCACTCGGGCATGGTTAGCCCGCCTAAGAGCGAGAGAGACAGACATAATATTTTACCACTCAAAGTCGTTGTCACGTAAAAGTTTCGCCCGTATAGGTACCGACTTTACAGGCAACCAATTTTTACTCTATGGCTCTCTCTCTATGGATGGATAGAATGTAATAGTTGTGTGTGTTTCTCAATTAAAATAAAACAGTTTGATCAGTTACGGAGAATTATTATTTCTAAATAACTACAGTCTTTTAGTTTAACCCTTTGAGTACCGTCATTATAGACACAATTAAAGAACAATAGGTTGCGGTCACCGGTGTCCTTGCAGTGTTTGACAGTCCCTTTAAGTACCGTCATTATAGACACAATTAAAGAACAATAGGTTGCGGTCACCGGTGTCCTCGCGGTGTTTGACAGTCCCTTTGAGTACCGTCATTATAGACACAATTAAAGAACAATAGGTTGCGGTCACCGGTGTCCTCGCGGTGTTTGACAGTCCCTTTGAGTACCGTCATTATAGACACAATTAAAGAACAATGGGTTGCGGTCACCGGTGTCCTCGCGGTGTTTGACAGTCCCTTTGAGTACCGTCATTATAGACACAATTAAAGAACAATAGGTTGTGGTCACCGGTGTCCTCGCGGTGTTTGACAGTTCCTTTGAGTACCGTCATTATAGACACAATTAAAGAACAATAGGTTGCGGTCACCGGTGTCCTCGCGGTGTTTGACAGTTTAATAACTATCTTCTGTCAGTGGCGTCGCCCCCGTGCCCAGGGTAAAAGTAGCCTATGAATTACTCCAGACAGTAACCAGTGACCAGTGACTGCCTCGTTGGCCGAATGGTCGCAAGTGCGACTACCGGGCAAGGGGTCTCGGGTTCGATTCCCGGGTCGGACAAAGTATTACTGGGTTTTTAAAAATCTCAGTAGTAGCACGGAGTCTGGAAATGTGTTTGGTATATGGCAATAGGCTCACCCCCTATTACATGGGACTCATAACATAAATAGTGAAAAGTGGGTGTTACATTGTACAGTGGCATTAGGTGCTGGCCAATCAAAGTACGAGTTTCTTTTTCGTTTAAAGTAATCGAAACGAATCCGGCGCTCTGATTGGTTAGTTCATTGGTGCTGGCCAATCAGAGCGCCAAACGCGTACTAAGGCGTCGATATTGAGCTTCTCGCTTCACCTGTACGTCAATCCAATACTACCCGTTTCTGCTAATAGATGGGTAAACTTCGTGCTTGCGGCATTTAGTTCCTTTTACGCACGGTAGGGGCGCTTTACAAATCCCATAGAAAATGCTTTCGATGTCGATACGAATACTTTCTCGATAGTTTTCGTGCTAGCCACACCGAATAAATATTGGTATGAAGAACAAGGAATATACTCACCAAGTTAGCATGTACGGTGGCCTCCTCAATGTATTTAGCGATACCAGTGACGAAGCCATTGCGGTCCTCGAAGTTGGTGTCGAAGTTAGCCTGGTAGAGGATGGAGCAGGGTGCCGCTTCAATGCATGGCTGTTCATCTGGAAAATATTAATTAATGTTGTTCAATAAAAATAAAATGAAGCAATGGGCCGGAGGTTAAGATGCCCGCTTCTCATGCATTTTTTTAAGGGGGGAAAATCATTTATTTATTTTTATTTATATATGCTTTATTGTACACATTTATGTAGTTTAAAACAAACAATTCAAGTAAATATGCGTACAATGGGCGGTCTTATCACACAATGGTGATTTCTTCCAGACAACCTTTGGATGGAAATATTTGTAAGAAACCAGACAAGGGGTAGTTACGTGTACAATACAATAAAATAAAAAAGACAAAATAAAAATGCCTACAATACAACCTATAATAGATATAATATACTAGCAACATATAAAAAGAAATACATAAATAATATACAAAAATACAATAAGCTATGTGTGTGTGTGTTTGTGTATGTGTGTGTGCGTGTGTGTGTGTTTGTGTGTGTATTTGTATGCGTATGTATGTACAATTAATGAAAGGAGAAACAGAAGCTTATAGTGTGAGAAAGTGCTCCTTCACAAGGTGTTTAAACTGACGCAAAGTCCGGGCACGCCTCACCTCGATAGGCAATTCATTCCACAATCGAGCCGCTTGAACCGTATAAGATTTATCGAAGAAGGAAGAGGAATGTATAGGTATACTTAATTTAAGATTCTCCGACGATCTCAGACACCTCGAATGTGTGTCACCGAGAAACTGAAAACGCTCTTTTAAGTAAAATGGGGTAGAAGGATTGAAAAGAATATTGTACAGTAAAGAAAGAATCATCGAATCATCGAATGGCTGCTCGCGCCTAAGTGAGGCGGGAGGGAGTGTCAGACTCTTACTGACTAAAAACCACCCCGTTCCTTCTCCTGCACTTCGAGCCGGAGCCCCGGTAACCCGTTAGATTCTCCGTGACGCTTCTCATGCATGTGAGTGTGTGTTCGAATCCTACCAATGGTAACTACCAATGTGACTTTTTCCGAGTTATATGTACTTTCTAAGATTATCTAGACACCACTGACAAACAGTGAAGGAAAACATCGACATAAAACCTGGACCTATAAACTTTTAATTAAAAGTTTGAAATCGCCAATCCGCAATGAGCAAGCGGGGTGATTAATGCTCAAACCTTCTCTGTGTGTGAGAAGGGGCTTCGCTCAGCAGTGGGCATTTATAGGTTGTTGAAAATGATAATGATTGTAGGAATTGTAGTAATTGGCGTTCTATAGTCTCTGCCTACCCCCATGCGAGACAGGCGTGAACTTATGTATGTATGTATAATCATACATAAGTTCACGCCTCAAAAGTAGCACGGAGTCTAGAATTGTGCCCGGTATATGGCAATAGGCTCACCCCCTATTACAAGGGACTCATAACATAAATAGTGAAAAGTGAGTTACATTGTACAGTGGCATTAAGTGCCGTAATGTGCACCTCTGCCTATCCCTTCGGCGATAAAAGGTGTGATGATATGTATGTATTCCAATGTTTAGAGACTACTATTGTAAAAACAAATGTAATAGATTATTCATAATTGGGGATTGACAAGTTAAATACAGCAAATTAAATTTAGACAAATATATATATTTTATCATCAATAAATTATTAAGTAAGTAAGTACCTACCTACTAATGTATTTTCCTGTATCAAATTATTGCCAGGAAGACTCTTATCAAAGAAATATATATATAAATATATGCTTCATTTATGTTTACACTTGATTTATATACTTAATTTAAAATATTTGATAAAAAGTGAAAAGTGGGTGTTATATTATACAGTGGCATTAAGTACCATAATGTGCACCTCTGTCTAACCCTTCGGGGATAAAATGTGTGATGTTATGTATGTATAAAAATGAAATAGACAAAAATATTTAATAAATTATGTTACTTTAATTTAATTTACTATTCGAGTTGTGAAACTGATTGAAAAAGAGTTTCTATTGAGTTTCTTGCTCATCCTTCTCATTAAGAATCTACAATTTGTAACAGGCAAAAAACTTTGCTAGGGGAAATTCCAAAAGTACCCTATATTAGTCTTTACTCCAATTAATTATTACTTATCATTCACTTCGGTCTAATATCAACATGGTATAAAATCGTGAGAACCGACCCCACCTAGATTTACTACACACACGATTAATCAGTTGTAAGACTTAAAATAGGTACTCACCAGGCAAAGTAAGCTCATCCAGCACATCCACATTACTCAGCGCATCAGATAATGACACTTTTTCACTCACAGACATGTTTAATCCGTTTCAAAACAAGGATATAGCGAGAGGAAATGTAACACACAGGATGTGAATAATTACGATTTAAACACACATAAGTTTATGTTAATTGTCACTTGAGTGATAAAACAAAACTTGTTTCACGTTTTCTATTACTCACAGTTAATATTTATATTCTAATTCATTAAATTTTTCAGTTTAATTAACTTTTACAAACAACAAGTAGTGAGTAATGGCGAACGTTTGACAGCTAAACATTATTACTAGTGGTGCTACCCACTTTACGCAATCGACCACAGATACAAAAAGCCATGTTACCGGTTTTGTGTTGCGGTTTTTTTTTGTAATTTCGCCTTTTGTAGCGCCCATGCGCAACAGCTACTCGATTGGGAAATAAGCGTTCAATTATTTATGACGTCACACCCAATTGTGTGACAGATCATCACACTTTCGCAGTATAGCATTTGTAACAGAAAATTACAAACAGGTTAAAAATAAGATCTTAACTAAAAGCATTCCTATTGATTTTAATACATACAGAACGACCGTTATTGTCGCTATGTTTGTATCATGTATTACGCCATTTTCTATGTTGAAGAGGTTTTTTTATGGCTTAAGCCGGTAAACGAGCAGACGGATCACCTGATGGTAAGCAATCGGCGTCGTCCATGGACACCCGGAACACCAGAAGCGTTACAAGTGCGTTACCGGCCTATTGGGGATTAGGAGTTTGAGGATCGTTAGGGATTCAGGGATTGGGGAGAAGGGGAGGGCGGGAATTGGGCCTCCGGTAACATCACTCATACGACGAAACACAACGCAAGCGTTGCTTCACGTCTGTTTTCTGTGAGGCCGTGGTATAACTCCGGTCGAGCAGGCCCATTCGTGCCGAAGCATGGCTCTCCCACACTAGAGGTAGGCAGAAGAGTTTATTTTAGATATAGAATACATTTTTCCGAGTTTACGTAATTATATTACCAATCCTATACTCATATTTTACCTACTTAGACTGTTATTTGTTACTGAGAATAAAAAGCAACAGTAGTACTTAACTTGCGCAACCCAGGAATCGAAACCGAGACCTCTTGGTCGGAAATCGCACTTGTAACGACTGGACTTGCGAGGAAAGGAGCACTGTTCTCTAATCAGCGTGCTTGTATAATAAAAGGGGGGTGGGCTCGCTGCCATTGCAGCGGTAAGTCCCCTCTTTGAGGAGTGGCTTGAGAGACGCTACGGCGTCCTCACCTACCGCCTGACGCAGGTCCTCACCGGACATGGAAGTTTCGGGAGGTACCTGTGTCTGATGGGGCGGGAGGAAACGCCCGGGTGTCATCACTGCGAGGACCGCCCTGAGGACACGGTGGAACACACAGTGGGAGAATGCCCTGCGTGGGCTGAGCACCGCCGTGCCCTCAGGGAAGTGATCGGCGATGGCGACCTCTCGCGTCCGGGCCTAGTGCAGGCCATGATGCGGAGCGAGGGGGATTGGGATGCCGTCTCCTCCTTTTGCGAAGCAGTCATGCTAGCTAAGGAGGAGGCGGGACGCGTGAGGCAGCGAAGCGCTGCCTCCTCGCAACCCAGCCATCGCGAAGGACACACCGGGCGTCGGGGATCGCGAGACGATCTCCGGCCACCGTAAGCGCGGGCCTGCGGACGGCGAGCATGGGTGGCTCCCCGTCCGACCAGAAACAGACCCGAGCGTACGGCGCGTCGCGTTCCGCGCGCGCCTCAAAGAGCCATCAGACCACCACAGATGGGGCCCAATAGGGCCGATGCCGATTCGGAGTCGCGGAGAACCTAACGGGTAACCGGGGCTCCGGCTCGACGTGCAGGAGAAGGAACGGGGTGGTTTTTAGTCAGTAAGAGTCTGACACTCCCTTCCGCCTCACCCAGGCGGGAGCAGTCATTCGATGATTTTCCCCCCTTAAAAAAAAAATAATAATAATAATAATAAAAGGGGGGGGGGGAGAATATTTAATAGTAATAGTTCAGTACACTCTGTAGTCATTTCTGTAAGGTTCTGTTAGATTTTGATATATAAAGTTCTCTTCTTAAAGAAAACACTGCAGTTCGAAGAACAAAATTACTTTTATTTAAACATAACATAACATCACGCCTTTTATCCATTATATTAGGCAGAGGTGCACACAGAGGTAACACCCATTTTTCACTATTTATGTTATGAGTCCCATGTAATAGGGGGTAAGCGTATTGCCATATACCGGGCACATTTCCCGAATCCATGCTACTACTGAGATTTTTTTATAACCCAGTAATACTTTACACGACCCGGGAATCGAACCCGAGACCCCTTGCCCGGTAGTCGCACTTACGACCACTCGGCCAACGAGGCAACTTTTATTTAAACTTCACAAATTATTAGGTAGGTACCTACATATAATTTCGAATGTGACCCACGAGTGCACGGGATTGTAAATGGAATACGGCTGACTGTTTTTATATAGAACGGGGGTGTATATATATTTTTTTTCTTTCTTTGGCAACCGATTCTCCAATGGGGGCGTATATGCATTTGAAGTGTGAAGTGAAGTATCAACACTGACGGGAATAAGGGTGTGACATTCCTTGGGCATAACAGCTCCATGAACCAAAGCCGTGATTTATTGTAGGTAAAGGTATCTATGTAAGTATAAAACAAAATATTTGCGAAACCTAACGCCAATTGCCTAATCCTAGCTTGCAAAAATATCAAGTAATTACATTTGGTGTCATATTATATTACTTACAGGATGGTGTCAGGCAGTGAAACTTTTGATCATAATTATTATTCACGTACCGTGCAACCTGAGTATGAAGAAATACAATTGTTGAGTTCACAAAGTCGCATCTCTGTACTTGGTATACAGAAACTGCAGGGAACCATCGCCAGGGCCGTCTGAGCCTACGTTGGTGCCCTTGGGGGCACAGAAAAATTCGGGGTCCTTTGGAATGTTGCACTACACTAGAATTTTTATTTTTGGCCACCCTAAGCGCCAGCCTGCGGACGGCGAACATGGGTGGCTCGTAGCCCGACCAGAACCAGACCCGAGCGAACGGTGCGTCGCGTTCCGCGCGCGCCTCAAAGAGCCATCAGACCATCACGGACGGGGCCCAATAGGGCTGATGCCAATACGGAGCCGCGGAGGATTCATGCGTTGCCGGGGCTCCGGGGCTCTCGAAGGGCAGGAATAGGAACGGGGTGGTTTTTAGTCAGTAAGAGTCTGACACTCCCTCCCGCCTCACTCAGGCGGGGAGAAGTCATTGAATGATTTCCCCCCCATAAAAATAAACACTAGAATTTTCTCCTGTAGAATCGTAGGTGCTTTTACAAACATACAAGTTCACATACACATACACCTAGACCCAGACACATCAGACCAGACAACTTTTCGAAAAAAAAATCTTTATTATTTTAATAGTCTTAATTGTGATGTCGCTCAAAGATAATACTAATTTTCATATGAATTAAAACCAAGTTAAGTAAATCGCTGGTAATTTTAGGGGTAAAAATAAAACAAAAAATAATATGTACAACATTATATTCATGTAGTTTGTTAAAAGCCTCCCTAATTTACCTGTGTGGATCTTCCTTCCATTATACATATTATAACAACCAAGATATACAAACATACAACATATTGTACTAATAACATACTAAAGGCAACTTATGGTATTTGAAATAATTTTCGGTAGGTACTTGCCAACTTGTCAAATTCAATACTTTTTTCGAACTGTTAAAAAACGACAGTTATCTTTGAATTTTGTACGAGATTGTGTATTGTGACGTCATGTTTTTTAGCGTCAAACAGGGTACTAATTTCTTAAAATTTGGTGGAAAAATACTAAAATTAAGTCGGTCATAAAATCAATTAATGCAAGTTTGGTAATTTTATTATATTTTGTTGTATTCAACGGTCGAAATACTTTTTTTGTTAAAAGAAAGTTCTCTCAGTGAGCTAGAATTTAGCTCTACTCGTTACTCGTTGCCGGTGAGACAACTGCCTTAACTACCACATGGATATGTCATCATAACAATTTCTTTTTAAAACTAATCAAATTGCCTTTACCTTTGCACAGAAAAAAATACGTATTCAGGACATACAATCAAATACATATAATAAAAAAACATGTTAAAATATAGTATATATAACTATATTTATAATATTTATATATCTTAGTAAACTTTAGTTTATAATGATATTTACAACAGTGACATAATCAACCATAACTTGACCTGAGTACCAAGCGTTCGGCGTTCGGCGCTCTGATTCGCCGGCTCCAGTAACCCAACCAATCAGAGCGCCGTACGCGCTCGATACTATTACGTTACGATTGCGATAGTTATTCGTGCTTGGTACTGAGGGCTGTCCAAACAAAGGCCCGTGGCTCATTTTTAATATTCGGGCAATAGACCCATTTTGAAAGTATGACCATTTATATGCTGATAAACACAACAGGTAAACATAAACGTAACAGATTTATAAATTTCGCGAGAAACTTACTAAATTAATTGTGGGCAAGCCATGCTTCGGCACGAATGGACCGCTTCGACCGGAGCGATACCACGGCCAAGTAGAAAACTGACGTGAAACAACACTTGCGTTGTTTCGTCGTTTGAGTGAGGTTACAGGAGGCCCCGGTAAACGAGAAGACAGATCACCTGATGATACGCAATCGGCGTCGCCCATGTACACACAGAACACCAGAGGCGTTTACAACTGTATTACCGGCTTTTTGGGGATTTGGAATTTGAGGATTGTTAGGTATGCAGGGATTGTTGAGATTGAGGAAGGGAGATTGGTAATTTGCAGTAACCTCACTCACACGACGAAATACAAAGTAGGCAACAAATTCTCACGATCACGCCTCAAAAGTAACAAAATGGGTCCAATATGTACTTTAATGTTCAGAAACATGTCTTTTAGTTAATTTTGTTTACTAAAAAGAATAAATAATCATATGTTATTGCTTAGCAGTGACATAAGAGCACAAATTAAAATGTACGGTGGCCAGGA